CCTGCCTTAGGCTGGGACCTGGTTTAAATTAAGAACTAACTTTCTTTCTTTCTTTCATTCTTTTGAGACGGGTCTCTGTGTAGTTTAGGCTGGCCTTGAACTTGATTATGTAACCCAGGCTGGCCTTGAACTCACAGTGATCCTACTGCCTCAACCCATCTGGGCCTAGTAGGGCACTCCTGTAATCCCAGCATTCAGGAGGCTGAGGCAAGAGGATCATTGTAAGTTCGAGACCAGCCTGGGCTCCAAAGTGAGCTCAAATCCAGCCTGAACTGCAGAGCGAGACCCTGTCTCAAAAAGACCAAAAAAAAAAAAGAATTTATCTTTCCTAGGTTTCTTACATGATTGAAGTCCCTGAGGAAACACTGACCATCTAAAAAAAACAGCTGAGTGTTTTGTTTGTTTATTTGTCTATCTTGGTACTAGGAATCAAACTCATGACCTCAGGCTTGCCAGGCAAGCACTTATGCCTACATCCCCAGATGCCAGCTGAGTAATTTCTAAATAAAACATCAATAAGTATCATGATACCCCAATTTCCCAAACCCCAGGAGTAACTGTGTGCATAAAAAAGGTATCCAAAGTCGCACACAGGACACTGCGGGCATTTTCAGTGGAGGTGAAACTTTCTGTATATTTGCTTTATAGTAAATTCTGTACCTCTACTTCTGTATGGCTGTCTATGTGTTTTGTGCGATTTTTTTTTTTTTTTTTTTTTGAGACAGGGTCTCACTGTGTATTTTAGGCCGGCCTTGAACTTGCAGTGATTCTTCTGCCTTGGCCTCCCAAGAGCTGGGATTACAGGTGTGCACCATCATGCCCCACTTGATGGAACTTTTCCATTAAGGGCACAAAGAACCAAGGACTGAGGAAGTGAAGAGGTGGTTCCTCACTGCACCAGAGCTGTCCTCCCTGGTGACAGTCCTTCCTGGGGATGGAAACCAGGGCCTCACACTGAGCTCCCCACAGCCTCTTTTATGTTTTACTTGGATACAGCATCTAAGTAAATTCCCCAGGCTGGCCTCCAACTGGCAGTCCTCCTGCTTCGGCCTCCTGAGTACTAGGACTACAAGCGTGCACCACCACATCTAGCTAAATCTGAATATAGGCATATTTTAAGCCTTCGGAAATTTTATGTATGGAACTCGGCCTCCCACATGCTCCGCAAGTGCTTTCTCACTGAGCTGCACCCCAGCCCCCTAAATACTTTGAAGTGAGTAAAATGCTCAGAAAATGGCCGTGGCCCTGGAAGGCACAGAGCGCCTGGGACCCCCGAAGGTCACCTTGTGCCCCGCGCACACGGCACCCACAGCCCTCTCTGCCTGCAGTGCAAGGAGGAAGTGGGGGGCACCCTGGACGCGGTGCAGCTGCTCGCCGGGGTCACCCAGCTGCTGCCCAAGTCCCGCGAGAACTACCTGAGCCGCTGCGTGGACCTGGAGCGGCTGCGCCGAGAGAACACCAGCCAGAAGGAGGTGGACAAGGTCGGTGCTCGCCGGGGCTGGGGCTGCTGCCTGAGTGACAGGCGTCACAGCGAGGCCACCCGGCTCCCTGCCCGTGACAAGGCCGGCCGAGTGACCCGTCCCCATCCCCGCCCCCGCCCCGCGTCTCCTAGGCGGAAACCAAAGCCAGGAAGGCGGCCGGGAGTCTGCAGCGCGCCGTGGAGAAGTACAACTCGGCCCGCGCCGACTTCGAGCAGAAGATGCTGGACTCGGCGCTGGTGAGCACCAGGCGCAGGTGGCCGGGGCCCGACGCGTCCCGGCGCAGGCCGCCGCGAGCCCCGTCCCAGGCCCTCCCGACACGGGCCGCCCGCCTGTCGCCGCGCTGAGTTGTGTCAGATGCCAACTCGTGCTGTGCCTCAGTTTACCCCTTAGTGAAGAGACGGTGAGGGCGCCTGCCTCGTAGAGATGTGAAAATTAAATGAGTCACACTGCGAAGTTTTCAGGTTTAGTACCAGGCGCAGGGAAACCACTCCATGCGCTACTTTTGGGGGGTTTTTTTGTTTGTTCGTTTTTGGGGTTGTTTTGGTACCGGAAATCGAATTCAGGACCTTGCGTTTGCCAGGCAGATGCTTGTGCCACTGAGCTATAGCCCTGGCCCATATTCTTGAGATTTTTTAGACAAGGAAGGACAGAGCTTAGAAGCCAAGAGTCTCCTAATTTTCTTTATTTATTTTTTATTTTTTGTCTTTTTGAGACAGGGTCTTACTATGCAGTTCAGGCTGGCCTTGAGCTCACTTTGTAGCCCAGGCTGGTCTCAAACTCGCAATGATCCTCTTGCCTCAGCCTCCCGAGTGCTGGGATTACAGGCGTGCGCCACCACGCCCGGCTCGAGTCTCCTAATTTTCTTGGCCGCAGAGAGGCCTGGGTTCCCATCCAGCCTCCAACCTGCACCAACCAGCGAGATGACTTTTTGCAAGGCACTTTGTCTCTGGGCATCTGTCCACCCATGCGTGTAAAATGCAGGTTGGAATCTCAGGATTAAGAATTGAAATTTTTTTCAAGTTGCAAACGATAGAAACCTTTATTTAGCCTGATGTAGTGGCACATGCCTGTCATGCCAGCACTTGAGAGGCTGAGGCAGGAGGATCACTGTGAGTTTGGGGCCAGCCTGGGCTACATAGTGAACTCAAGGCATCAACATCAGCCTGTAGCTGGGCATGGTGGTGCACACCTGTAATCCCAGCACTCAGGAGGCTGAGGCAGGAGAATCATTGTGAGTTTGAGGCCAGCCTGGGCTTACAAAATGAGCTCAAGCGCAAGTTGAAGTGCTTAGTTCGACCCTCTGTACAAAAGACAAAAAAAAAAAAAAAAAAAAAAAAAAAAAAAGGGCCAGCCTGAACTACACAAGGAGCACCTGTCTCAAAAAAAAAGGAAAGAAAGAAAGATAAGAAAACCTTCACTGAAACTGACAGATTTTTCAGGGTGTGGTGCACATCTGTAATCCCAGCACTCAGGTGGCTGAGGCAGGAAGATTGCTGTGAGTTCGAGGCCAGCCTGGGCTACAAAGTGAGTTGAAGGCCTGAACTGCATAGCAAGACCTTGTCTCAAAAAGACAAATAAATAAATAAATAAACCGACCGATTTATAGGCTCTGAACTGAAAAGTTTCTTAGGGGTCCATGAAGGTTTCAGGCATGGTTGGATCCAGGTGTGAAAATGGTGTTGGCAGGAAGTTGTGTCTCTGCTTGTCTAGTCTGTTTCCCTCCTTGGAGACCTTCACTCCAGCTTTACATTAGATGTGTGTGTGTGTGTGTGTGTGTGTGTGTGTGTGTGTGTGTGTGTGTATGTGTTCGCATGGAGGGGGAGTAATCACTACCAGCCTGCATTTCCATCCCAACAACCTCTAACCTAAGGAGTCAGTGTCTCCTTTCCCATAATTCCGCAAAAGTCCTAGGGCAGAATCTCATTGGCTGTCCCCCAAATCAGTCACTGCAGCCGGGAGTTTGGGATGTTCTGATTGGTCAGGCTGGGTTCTCTGACCCGCCTCCCTATCCAGAGCTCCCCAGCCTACTTTGTGGAGGACACACGTGTGCAGATGGGGCAGATGAAGCCACCTGAGGCTGGGGCTGGGCGCAGGACCAGTTGTGCTCGGAGTTCAAACAACATCGGGAAGGTCAGCACGCGCTCGCTGCTCGGGAAGTTCACTGAAAGCAGAGGAGGGCTGAGCAAAGCCGGGGAGCCAGGTGGCCGGGCCTCCCTCGGCCTGCTCGCTTCATCGGAAAGGGGGCGGGGCGGGGCCCGGTGTGGCGGCCATGCCTGTCGTCCCTGCATCCGTAGACCGAGGCAGGAGGGTCACTGCAAGTTTAAGGCCACCTGGGTTACTCAGCGAGAGTCTGTCTCAAAAAACTGAGGGGGGAAAAAAAGAAAGAGGGAAAGGGGGAGAAGAAAAGAACGGGCTGAGTGGTGTCCATCCCCAGCAATGGGAATCGTGAAATAAAACAATGTTAAAAAGGTTGATGATGGGCCTGGGGATTTAGCGCAGCGGCACAGTGCCTGCCTGGCAAGCGCAAGGTCGTGAGTTCGATTCCCAGTACCGGAGAAAAACCAAAAAAAAAAAAAAATTAAAAAATTAAAAAATGAAAATAAATACAAAAAGATTGATGACAGTTTCAACAATTTCAACTCTCCAGCCCCACGGGGAGAGGATTTGGTCTGCACCGAGGGAGGCGCTGAGCTCCTCTATCCCCCTGCATCCCCTGAGTCCCCCAGTCTGAGTCCTCAGCGGGAGGCCTGGGGCCCCTTGGGCCAGGAAGCAGCCCCCCGCCTAAAGAGAGGTCGTGGCTCTCCCACACCTCTGGCCTCTCTTCACCCCACCCTGGCTGCGGCAGCCCTGCAGATGGAGGTGGCCCCAAATGCTCCCCACCTCATGCCCTTCCCCGCTTCCAGCCACAGTGGGGGAGGGCAGGACAGGGCCAGGGGGCAGGGGTGGGCTGGCCTGTGCATCTCGGGGTGTGGAGTGGGAAGGTCCTCTGGCTGCAACTCCATTCCCCTCTTGGAAGGCCAGAGAGTTATCTGGGGAAGCACCCCAGCCCCTAATCTTTTTTTTTTTTGTTTATTTATGGTTCCAGGAGTCAAACTCAGGACCTTGGGCTTGCCAGGCAGGCGCTTATGCTGCTGAGCTATATCCCCGGTCCCTGGCCCCTAATCTTATTTATTTATTTATTTATTTAAAATAATTTTTTGAGACGGTGTCTCACTATTACTGAGACTGGCCTCGAACGTGCAGTGAGCCTCCTGCCTCAGCCTCCTGAGTGCTGAGCTTCCAGGCGGGAACCACACGCCTACTCCAAGCCGCTCTTGTTAACTCTGTCTAGATGTGAGGAAGGGTCTCTTGCCCCCCCAGTCCTCTCCAGATCCTGGGACACGCAGTGGTCCTGAAGGCCAAAGCCCCACCCAAGTCTTACACCCCTCCTTCAGCGCTGCTGCCGGTGCCTGGTGGGGTGGCAGTCACACCCTTAAGGCCCAACGCCCAAGCTCCTCCAGAGTCCATTCCAACGCCGCCGGCCCCCAATAATCCGGTCCACACAGACGCCCCGTCTATGCTGTTTGTGATAGGGCACAGCCCACGTCAGGGACTTACATGATCAGCTGTGTCTCGGCGACCCCCCCCCCACAGCGGCCACCAGGACCCCCAGAGAGGCGAGCCACCCCGGAGAAACCCAGCCGCAGGCCCTCGGGTCCGCAGAGGAGCCCAGCCGAGCCCGCGCGGTCCCCGCCCCACCCCCACGCCGCGGGCTCAGCGGCGGGGCCCGCCCGCTCCGGTTCAGCACCGGGGCGCGGACAGCTCCGGGCGGGGACGGCAGGAGCCAGGCCGGGTGGGAGTCCCGCCGCCTCCTTACTGCGCCTCCGCGGCGGGACAGAGGGCCCGTAGCTGCCTTGGGTGGCTCTGGCGCTGTCTGTCCACCTCTCGTCCCCCTGCGTCTGCTCCTGCCTCCAGGCTTCTCCCGCCGTGTCCCCTCTGCGTCTGCGGTGTGCTGCCTGGTCTCTTGATGTCTGCTCCCGCTCTTGGTCCTTGCATCCTCTGCAGTCCCGTGAGTAACTGGAAAACACCTATTCGCCACCAGTGCGCGTGGCCCACAGCTCCTCCTTCAGGAAGCCTTCCCTGCCCGAGTCCTTATTACCCCTCTGGACCCCTGCAGCCCCAATCCCTTCCGGTTGGTCCTGACCCCAACACGGCTCTACTCACCACCCTCCCACACAGCCTGGCAGGCAGTTCCTGAAAGCCATGCCCTGCAAACCTGTTCCCAGTGCCAGCACAGCACCTGGGCCGAGCCCCACAGGCCCCTCCGTGCCCCGTGCTCACGAAAGACTCATAAAGGCACAGCGTGTGTGCATTTGAGAGCCAATAAAGCCCGGGCTCAAAACCAACGCATGGGGCTGGAGCTGTAGTTCAGCAGCACAAGTGCCTGCCTGGCAAGTGCAAGGTCCTGAGTTCGATTCCCGGCACCAAAGGAAAAAAAACACAAGCCAGGCATGGTGTTACACGACTGTAATCTCAGCACTTGGGAGGCTGAAGCAGGAGGATTGTTGCGAGTTCGAGGCCCACCTGGGCTACAAAGTAAGTTCAAGGCCAGCCTGAACTGCATAGCGAGACCCTGCCTCAAAAAGGCAAACAAAAACAGACAAAAAACCAACACGCACATGCAGGCATCCACACACACATTCTCCTCTGCCTCCCACCACCAGCAAGAACCTGCAGCTCACCTGAACGTTCTGTGTCTCAGTTTCCCCACCTGTGAAAGAGGGACATGAATGGGACCCCCCCACACGGTCGCAGAAGCTGTAAAATGCATCAACTCTTAATAGGACTGGGGGTCATGATGTTTAATATTAACCATTGTGACAGTTCTCACCACTTTTTAGTTTTTTAATATATTAATTTATAGTTTTTAAAATTTATTTTGTGGTATCACCGATTGAACCCAGGGCTTTTGCTGAGTTACATCTACAGCCCCCCCCCTTTTTTTTTTTTTTTCTTTTTTTTTTTTCTTTTAATCTCTATATTGCCGAAACCATTTTGTAGATTTTTTAAACTTGTAGTTTATTCTTGGATAGTTTTCTTTTTCAGTTTAAAAAATAATTTATTTTATTTTGGTTTTTTTGGAACAAGGACAGGTCTCACTATGCAGTTCAGGCTGGACTTGAACTCACTCTGTAGTCCAGGCTGGCCTCAAATTCGTGGCAATCCTCCTGCCTCAGCCTCCTGAGTGCTGGGACGATGGCGTGAGCCACCGCGCCTGGTTTTAGTACTTCATGTTTCCCGTGTCTGTCGAGGTCCCCGTGGACACCGCCAACAGTATCCACACAGCGTGTGCCCCATGGCGGGGGCTGCGCGCCAACTGTGCGCTCAGCGCCCGGATGTTGCTGGGCACGGGGTCCTGGCCCGCCTCGGTGCTGAAGGACACCGTTCGGTCCCCGCGTCCCGCCCCCCTGTGCGGCTCCTGCGCCGCCGCCCGGCTGTCCCGCCCACTCCCCCAGCCGGCCACCGCGGCTTCTCTCCCCGAGGCCCCGGCAGTCCTGCCCTCACCACCAGGGGGCGCGGGCTCGGGGCAGGGCCGTCGCGGTGTGGACCGTGCTTCCCCGGCTGCGAGGCTCGGCCACCAGGCCACCCTAAGCTGGCCGCGTGTGCGGCCCTCGACTCTCCTTGCTTCCCTCTCGGGGCTGCGTCCACGGG